CACGTCTCTAAAAAATAATAGCCTGCTAAACTATTTAACAACACTTATCTTCACAGATCCCAAGGCATTCTCTTCACACTTAATTTTTTACTTTTATTTTAACTTGAGGAAGCCAAAGAGAGCATAAACTTTCTCCGGGCGAAACAGTGTCAAATCGATCCCTAACTTTGAAGAAATAGTTGGTGGGAGGAGATATAGATTCATAACTTTCCCAATGTATTTGCACGAAAGTGAATGCAACGAACTCTACTGGAAGTTGAACTCAGTTCGCCGATTTTTTGTATGGATCGGCTAACCATTGCACCACCCGCACATCCATGTAGCCTGAAAGAAAGCATTAGAAATCTTGCCAACACATTCGGTCCTCAGTCGCTTGAGTGGTTATTGATTCTCTAGGCAGCTACATTGGATCTAAATGAAAGATATTTCTTTGGTCCCGTCAGATGCTCATCACGTCCCTCACGACGATTACTTTAACAGGCCGGCCTGCGCTGAGGCACGCAAATAGCGACAGGCAATTCTTATCTGCAGACGTCACAAAGAAAAGTGCTGTTTTATTTCGTTGTAAACTTCATAATCTTTTCAATGACTGTATAGTAGCTGCCTCACCAAACTACCTTTCTTCTAGACTGGTTGACAACCATGAGCTCAGTCTGTCCTGCTATTTAAACCATAACTGGGGGAGAGGAAACGGTTGTACTTTGAATATACGCCAAAGAAGCGCTAGAGGGCGTCGTCAGTGATGTTCTGAATTGGGTCATTGGGCTGTTTCGGGTCTATCATACATCGACCCGATCAGAGCTGATCAGTCTCTGATGCGCCCCCTATCTAAATTAACAGCCTGCAGACACTGGCTTATATTATAGGCAAACCATACCACCTCTGTTACACATTTGATTGGAAGTTGACTAACAGCCAATCGCAATGTTGTGAGCTCTATTTATAGGGGATTTTTTACTTTTTCTTTTTTTTTATGTGAATACTCGTCGGATACTCGGAAGGTAATTGTGTTTTCCGTTTATTTTTATTTTTTTACTTTTTTTTTTTTTTTTTCAAGTTTTATCTCCCCAATTGATAATTACTGTTAGTATAGAAAAAGAAAACAATAAAATAAAATAAGAAATAAAAAAAGGTGCAACCATAAAATAATTAGAAATTTACATTATTTTTACGATTAAAATAAATAAATTACGACTTATTCAGCGTGTTAAAACGAAAATAGAAATAGAAATAAATGTCGTTTAAAACAAGTTTAGCAGTACTAAATCAGCCGACACGCTTGATTCGCTTTTCGTACCTCGAAGCCTTGCACTATCCATACATCCATAAGTAATTACTCGCCCTCTCATATCCAGACAGATACCATATTTAATGGTATTTAGCTACTCGCCCTCTCGTACCCAGACAGATACCATATTTAATGGTATTTAGCTACTCGCCCTCTCGTACCCAGACAGATACCATATTTAATGGTATTTAGCTACTCGCCCTCTCGTACCCAGACAGATACCATATTTAATGGTATTTAGCTACTCGCCCTCTCGTACCCAGACAGATACCATATTTAATGGTATTTAGCTACTCGCCCTCTCGTACCCAGACAGATACCATATTTAATGGTATTTAGCTACTCGCCCTCTCATACCCAGATACCATATTTAATGGTATTTAAGGAATAGTAATAATTCTGAAAACAGTTCGATTTCATATTTCGAGTTTATATAAATTAACAAGAACAGATTAAACAAATCAAGAAACAATGAATCAAAGGAAAATATTTGGTTGTACGTTTCCCATTGTTTCTCAATTTGGACATTGACAATTAAGGATGGATAGCCAATTAGAATTCATGGCGTCTAACTTCTGGTGATTAAGGTGAAAAAATGAAGCATAAAAAATATATCGTCGTCGGCTTTATCTCGTATCCAAGAAATTAATTTCTTCTTTTCTGATCGCTTCCTTTATGTTGATGACTAAGTAGACCAATTCTTGCATGTAATTCCCCATGGCATTGACTGAATAGTAATGTTGGCGGAGGAGGAGGACGAGGTCGATTTTGTCGAGCCTTTCTCTATTGTATTTTAACTTCTTTCTTTTCTCTTCTGGTGACTTTGAAGTTTTCGGTTCAGATGATGATCGAACAACGCCAGGTAATAGTCTTGTGCTTGTGTTTCAAACAGTTTAGGCTCAAATCTAGTGGCTTTCAGTGTTGTTTTGAGTTCGTCCTTGTATCTTCGAAGAGGCAACACCCTGGTCTTTTCCCCAATAAATACAAAAAACTAGATAATAGTAGCAGTAGTAGTAATGGTTATATTCGTAATACGCTTTTCATCCCACTATCTCTTGTACATGACAAAGTTTAAACATCCAGGAACAACAAAAATTACCATGGACAGAATCTGTGATAATCGAGGAAGTTTTAATGCGAACAGGAATTACAAAGATTTTCTGGGATGCGGCGTTACCATTATTTACATTCAGACTAATATCCGCATCTTTGTTATTATATCACATCGTTTCACTCATTGTACCCTCCAGCCTTTTTCAGGTGTTTGTCGATCCAAGTAACCTTCGGGGAATTTTGGACCTAGACCGTTTATTTAATCTGCGGGTTTAGATCGTCCTCGTTCCTCTGTCCATGTCTAGAGATGTCTCCTCTGATTCTTTTTAGTGTTACCCAGTTACTGCTCGTTTTGTTTCCACTGAGTCCGAGTCTGTACTACCCAGCCTGGAGGTTGATCTCTCAATTACTTTGCCACCGAATTCCCGAGCCAATGCTTTAATCCACTAGGCTATTGTTCAACTGTGTACTTAGAATTTGGAGTCTTAAACCTACCTCATATTGTCTGCCTGCCTTCCCTTGCTGTGATACTTGACCTCCGCAAACGACTCTCTTTTCTTACTGCTGCTACTGAAGCTTTGCTGTCGATCTTTTTTCTTCATTTATTAATTACCCTGATATGGTATTTATTTCGATGCTAGGTCTGCTGGGGAGTCCGTCTTAGCCTAGCATATGTGCCAATCCCTTCAGATTCTCTAGTGTTCTTATTTGTCAAAGGAAGTGCTGCTGACAGTCGCAAAGAGGCAATTAAATTTTGGTGGATACATAATGCGAAAAAATGAAAAAAAGCTTGAAGAAATTAATACTCAGTGAACACTGAAGCAGGGTGGATCAGTGTGTAAACTACTTGATGAGACTGATCAAGTAATTTACACGCTGATCCACTCTGAGGAGTTGAAACGGGCAAGTAAAGAGTTGTGGAGAGACATGATCGCATACAACATGGCACATATACGGAGAAAAATGACTACATGTCAAGCTACGTATGTACTGATTCATATATATATATATATATAATCTCATAAATTCACCCCAAGCAAGGCGACAATGTCACTAAGACGCAAGAGGCAACTGGGAGTGAAAGAGAATGAAAAGACTTTAGAAGAAACATTGTCGTACATATTACAATGATGTTTACCCTGTACAAGGCCCAAGAGCCACTCGAGGTAGAGGGTTACAAAGTAAGAGGCACTAATTCAAGGAAAGTGATAATGCCACCAAGGCGGACGGGGTCACCGAAAGTGAAAGAGAAGGAAAAGACATTAGAAGGAACGGGAAACCCATTCCTGAACGAAAGACAAAGCATAAACCTGTTCAAAAAACTGGGGAGGGGTATGAACCGGACGATAGATATACTCATGATTAGGACGTTCGATTTCCAACCGTGACATCTGGGTTCGTATCTCATCATGGTCAAGTGATTTCTTGGTGGCCTGGCAAGGCGACCCTAGCGCGCGGCAACGTTGGGAAGTGCCCGAAAGCCACACCCTGCGGGTTGACTCATGACTTGTGAGTGAAATTGGGTAGACGGAACCGTTCGAAAGGCATCGATAGTTGTGCTAGCACGAAGTCACCAGTCATCGTGACCGAGGGTTTGAATGTACTGACCTTATTGAAACTGTTGATCGCTCCAGATTATGCGCTCACTCTCAGTAACTATAACTAAGGCCCATTTAGCATAACTGCAATATAAACCACAGGTTGGCTCTGTGGGTGTTGAATAAATATAACTGTGCCTGAGCAGATGTCTGTAACAGGGATTAGATAACCACCCTAATAGCATTGGATGTGATCGGTTTGGTTTATTTTCTTTTACGGTATATCAACCTCATTGGGTTATTTAATGCCGACAAGATTTTTAGGGTAGATTCGTATGAATAGAATATGCATGCTTTGTATGAAATCCGTTAGTAGATAAGGTTTCATTGACATATTTTTTAAAGAGGGTTTCTTTTGTCAAGTGTATTACTGGTAATATTTTTCTTTCAAAACATGTATTGCTGGTAAATTTTTTTTTAAATGTAATTTTATTTTTTTTAAACGCGTTGCTGGTAATATTTTTTTCAAAAAATGTATTTCTGGTAATATTTTTTTTAAATGTATTGCTGGTAATTTTTTTTTCTCCCAAAAATGTATTGCTGGCAATATTTTAAAAAAAAATGTATTGCTGGTATGTTTACTATATATATAAAAAAAACAAACTATTTATCCATTAGTTTGGGAGTTAAAAAATTGTCCCTTGCTGAAACCCTAACACCACCCGGGCCAGGGTAGACATGGAAATAACAGAAATTAAGAGGTGATTCCACGCTCCTCAAAACCTCCTGTTCAAAGGCCTTGCTACCGGATGTCATACCCAGGACGCCTGATTGGGGATGGAGGTCTTACCTCTTTGCAGAGTTTCAGTCGGCGTATTCTGAAGGCCCAGACGACAGGGCGTGGATGTGACCGGAAAAAAGATATATTCGCTAGTGGAACTCGTATTAGGCTTCTCATAAATATTTCCTTCCGTGTGAAATGTGTCTTATTGAGAAGAAAAGTTTTTGAACATGAAAGCCTTTGTTACGAATTGGGGTCTGTGGGTCGCCACTCCATGGCGCGCACACACACACACACACACACACACACTTCTGTTAAACCATCCGCTGCGGCAAACCAGGCACGTTCATGATGACAGCTTGCATCGGGCTGCCGACTTGTATCTCTTACGTAGAACGTCACCTTGGCCGAATACTCGTCGGGCGTCGGATCGGGCTTAGTCTGGTTCCTTTTCTGGATCCTTACCTCCATGTGTCACACTGCCAGGAGACAGACGCACAAGCTCCACCATTCAGACGCACACACGTTACATATATATTATATATATATATATATATATATATACATAAATATAGTGTGTGTGGTAATGATCAGCGACCTAGTCTAGCAGACTGCTACTACTGTAAAGTGAGTCTCATTTGAACTGGGTGCTCCCTACTTGTGACCTTGTGCCAAACTAAGCTCAGCTTAGAAGATAGCTAACATGTCTGTGTGAATGTATCAGTGCATCAGTTTTGCTCCTATTTTCTTCAATTGTAAGAAATTCCAATGTGGTGTTAAATCTTTAAATGTCACGAGGTAATAAATCCGATGTTTTTGTTAAATTCTTTCTTTCTTACGGGTTTTCTTGGATATTGCATACCTACGTTAGCTATCAATCTCTCTCTCTCTCTATATATATATATCAATCCCTATCTATCTACATATCTCTCTATCTCTCTCTTTCTTTGTCTATCTCTCTCTTTCTTTTTTCGTCTCTTTCTCTCTCACATATGAATATTTCCAAGAATTATAATTTACTAAATGCTGGATTTCATTTTGAAAAGAAATGAAGACAATTTCCTTTCAAAATCTCACTCATCCACTGAGTCAAAGAGATCACGTGAAGACGACCAACTAATTAAGAGCAATAAGCGATGAAAATCAATTAATGACATGCTTAAAATACATGTACATTTCATTTCATTAACGCTAATTAGGATAATTAATGCTTTTCCTAAGTGTCATATACTTTGACTGACAGAAGAAAATATCCTATTTTCAGCGGATTAAAATACATCATTGGAGATTTCATTTTCCCCGATCCAATATATCCGAAAAGAGCACTCAAAAGAAATTCTTCAATTTATCTTAAAGTTTAGCAAAACAAAAAGGTCAAGCGACAACTGGACAGGAAAATCAGCATTCAAAATTCTGGCTTTTGCTTGGGTTCGAACTATGCAACTAACAAAGCGCCCCAAAAGATATTAGAGTTTCTTGCCTTGAAAATCAGCATTGAAAATTCTGAATTATTCTTCGGCTCGAATTATGCAACGAGCAAAGCCCCAGAAAGGATATCATGATTGCTTACCTAGAAAATCGACATTCGAATTATTGGTTTTTCATGTAGTGCGAACATCGACACTGACAGGATCAGATTGATCAACATATTAATTCCATAAGGTCGACAGAAAACGATATCGATAAATATGTGATGTGTGTGTGTGTATTTAGGCAGCATATCTTCATTCAAGCATATTTGATTAAATAATCTAGACATATTATATATATTTATTTTATTTTAACCCTTTCGCATTCTCAGATCAACTTCTTAATGTTGATATTAAATTCATTACAGAAGGCGCCGTAGTTTTCGTTATTCCTTTTATTTTCAAGTACTTTCAGTCCTATCCATGATCATCTTCAGGGGTAAATTGCTAAGATATAAAATTAATGTAATTTATAGTTGTGTATTTTTTGTAAATGCGCATGAAACGCGCCCTGTTATAATTATGAACAAGTATAAACGTGCTCCGTCATAGTCAATTTAAAAATTAACTTTTAAGAATAATATGCATGTAAGGGAGGTAACTTGGTTTATATATATTTTTTATTATTAATATTTTAAAATAGTCAACTTACAATTTAACATTTTTTTTACAATTTGAGTATTCCAAAACCTTGATTTTATAGGCATTTTAAAACATAGTTGCTATACTCATAATTAATCTTATTTCGTGCTGGTTGCATTTTTTTATAAGAATTATTTGTTTTTTTCATAGTGGAGTATATTTGTATTGTCAATTAATATTTCTCTAAATCGTGAATGTGGACAGGAATGTTAGACTATAGAACTTGAATCTGCCATGTGCAATGTAAGCTTACTTTTGTGTGTGTGTGTGTGTGTGTGAGAGAGAGTACAAATAAAATTTGTCACCTAGCTGGATGATATATTCACTCCTCGACTCTAGAGATTTGTAGATGTACTTTTTTGTAATTGTTCAATCTTGACTCTTTCAAGCAATTATCTGTCGTTATATTTACGGCCTTATCACGGTGAAGCACCAGTTCTCGTCCGATAGCCGAAGTTAAGCAACGTTAAACCGCCTGATCAGTACCTAGTGACCACTTCGGAAAACCAGGTAGTGTAATCCTGGATGCGTGAGTGGAGTAATTGTTAATGAATCTGAAAGACAAAGTTCGAATTCCAGTCGAGTTCGTTACATTCCCTTATGCGCAAATAGCCTCGGGGAAGGTATAACTCCATCTCTCTTGCCCCAAGCTATGGGTAAATAGTAGAGCAGACTGAAACCTAGAGTCTTGACTAGCAACCAGTCTCGGAGAATAAAAACTCCGAATCGAAATCCGTATGGAAAGGGATGGCAATGGGTGGATGAGCTTTTTGTAAGTATCAACGGCAGGGTTAGGGTTGTAGGTGCCAACGGCCTGCATACACGTTGATGGAGAACACCTCTCTCAAAGAAAGGCCGCGAGTGTATCGTCATCTGACATGTGGCACACAGTACACCAGCACTGAACTTGGTACTATGATGGAAAGAGTGTGTGATACAGAGCACAGGCAATTGACCACTTTAAATAATTCACTTGTGTAGGTTGTTAAAACTTAAATTTACTGAGCCATCATCCATCGTTCTATATATATATATATATATATATATATATATATATATATATATATATATATATATATATATTTATTTAGTGTATATAAATAGAAAAAATATATATATGTATATTTATTTATTATTATAAGCGCTCAATATCAGAGATAGAGCTAACATATTTGGTTGGATAGATGTGAGTTTGTGACCCTGGGTTTCACGCTTTAGCGATCGTTAATCGCCAGACAATTGTCTGACGATCGCTAAAGCGTGAATCTAGGGTCAACAAATGACATCTATCCAATCAAATATATATATATATATATATATATATATATATATATATATATGGTATGACGTTTGCATGATAACCCTAACTGTCAGGGTTTCAATTGTCGGTGGTGGATGCGCACTGCTGATGAGTCCCAAATATAGGACGAAACGGCCGTTCAGTGCTTTCTGCATTCTGTTGAGGTTTCTTTTCGATGACTCGATATATATATATATATATATATATATATATATATATATATATAATGAAAGCGGAGACTTTAAAAATCCATTGTAATAATTTTTCGCGAGATCAATAAAATGAATACATCTCCACACATCAGATGAAAAATTTTTATAACAATAGATGAATTTTTGAAAAAAAAAAAGAATTCTACAAACAATTTTTTCGCTTGTACCTGGATAAATTTAAAATTCATCTATTGCTGTAAAATTGTTTGATCTGATGAGACGAGATCTTTTTGAAGTCGTGAAATAAATTATTACCATGGATTTCTAAAATATCCGCTTTCATCATTATTATTTGCTTTGTTCTTGCATTGAGCTCTCTTTGGATTTATATCCTCTTATATTATATATTTATTCGAAAATTATAATATAAATATGTTATAAAATCACTACAAAAATAGCCATTTGTTGGTTATTGTAATTTATTCCGGATACACCAATCCTATACATGGATGGATGGATATATATATATATATATATATATATATAATTATATATATATATATATATATAATTAAGTTTCGGAATTAATCTGTAAATAAAGACAATACGTATAAAGGAAAAAAGACAATGGGGAAAATTGTGGTTTTAGCCGACGCGTTTCAAACATAAAAAGTAAATGACGCAATTTTTCATTTGACCCAGTGAATATACATCAGCGTTTCTAAATTCTTCTAGTAAGTAAAAATTTTTTTAATGTTTATAGATACTTTGTTCAAATAGATTAATTTCGTTTTTTGCTTTGTAAAAGTCCACTGTGGACGAAAAGCACATACAATTTTCTTTTCTTTTTTTCTTTTAAATATATGTATGGAATTTGGAAATGAGCCGATTCCGCCATCTTGGTTTCAACCTTTCGCTATCTTCAGGCGATTTCGGTCAGTTTATTTCCTAAGGCTTTATTTTTTTTAAATAAAAAAAAAAAAAATATGAGCGCTATATTAAAAAAAAAAAAAAATAAAATAAATCAATGAATAAGCGCACAATGAATTAGGTGTGGTAGAAGGTGAGGAGGAGGATGAAATCAAGTGTATTAGAAATGTATCGGTGGTGGGGGGTAAATGAAATATATATACATTCTTTTTATCCCACTTCAGATGAACTCAAAAGGAACTTTTTAGTATGTATACAACGGGACATAATTTCCAATCTCCAGTTTAAAAGATTTTTTGGTCTGGAAATGTTATTATAAACGTTTCAGATATATATATATGATTGTTATGATTGTTATAAGATTTTTTAAAAAATTTTCCAATTTATACATAATCAAATATTCGCTGTTTTTTCTCTGTTTCAAGTTATCACTTTCTCTTTCGTTCTTTCTTGTTTGCCTCATCGTTTTCACAGAAAGAAAATGGAAGATTTTATTAACGATACATTTCGCCGGAGAATCGTGTGCTTCCTCAGTATAAAATGAAAGAAAAAAACTGTGAGAAAAATGCACTGAGATCTCTGAAGATAAGTGGGTATCATAAATCAAATTAATTACCCTAGCTTAACACCTCCCAATGTCCAGACTTGACCTGTAAAAAGATATTCATACATACAACTATTCCTTATATATTTTTATGTTTCTCCCTCAACTAGTTACTTTTGTTTTTTCGCCTCAGATTCAGTTGCATATTCAAGCATAAGATTTCAAAATAACGTGCTGAGAATTTTTGCACACGGAAGTACTCACGATTTTTCTCCCCTTCTCCCGCTCCTCTCTCCCTCACTTCTCCCCCTCTCCCTTCTCTCTCATCTCTCCCTCCCCCTTTCCCTTCTCCCTCCCCTTTTCCTTCCCCCTCTCTTTCTTTTCACTTTTCCTCCACTCTCTTCATTTTTCCTTCTCCTCCTGTATCCCTCTATGTTTCTACTACGCCTGTTTTGCTCAGCTTCTGCCACTCACCCTGTAACCTTCTTTCTGTTAATCGATATCCCGGGGTTCCTATGCACATCAGCTGATTGATCAGTGAATATCGCTATCAAAGGCCCGCTGAGATCGTTGTGGGTCTACCCTGCTACCCTGCTACTGCAATCATTAATTGAGAAAATACTTTTCAATGTTCATCTTTTTAGGTGTGAAGGTAGGGACTGAGAGCATCACAATCTTTTTACGTCACTCAGTACAGTTGTCCATTTGCAAATTCGTTAATACCTCAATCAGAACATATTTATTTCTGATCTATCTATCTATCTATCAGTTGAATTTTGAGCATAATAATTTTCAGTATATGTGATTAATATTTACTACTGAACCAAAATTCATTAACAAGGAAATAATGCTGAAATATATTAATAAATGCTTTTCATCATTATGCTTAAGTGGGTAGGCCTGATAACTTTTCAACATCCCTATATATATATATATATATATATATATATATATATATATATATATATATATATACTTTTCAGCATCTCTTTTTTATATATATATATATATATATATATATTATTGCACATTAGTGCTGGTGTTAATAAAATTGTGCCCAATGTAAAATTAACAGAGCTATAAATTATATATTATTCATAAATATAGATTATTTTTTCCTCAAAGTTTTTTGAAGATTGCGTTGTGCATGAAACTCAGTTGTGCTACCGGTGAGAGTAAATATATATATATATATATATATATATATATATATATATATACGGTTGTATTGAGCTCTTTTGTTAGTTAGTTGTTACTCGTATCAGGGTTTTTTCTTTGGGCTTCAGACCTGCATCTGTGCGATTTTTTTGTCGGAAGTTCATGTTTGTAGCTCTTTCTTTTTTTAAAACCTTTTTCCCTCGAGATTGATTTGATTAGCAAATAAAAAATTCGAGGTTTTTTCGAAACGAGTCTAGTTAGTTATCTATCTATCTATCTATCTATCTATCTATATATATATATATATATGTATGTATGTATGTATGTATGTATGTATGTATATATATATATATATATATATATATATATATATATATATATGAGAGAGAGTAGAATCTCTAGGAAGTGTAATTACTTGTCTTTTACTGTTTAGGTAGTTGTCGTCCTTTGATTCTGTTTTTCGTCTTAGTTTCATTTTTACTTTCTTTGGTCACTTGACAGGCTTTCGATTGGTCTCGGCAATACTTTGACTTATATATATATGTGTGTGTGTGCGTGTATTGGAGAAACTGTATGAGAAAGTGGAAAAAGTTTACTTGCGACGCGTTTCGTCCTTCAGGACTTCATCGGATTAAATTTATGTTGGTACCACTACACATGCGCAGGACGAAACGCATCACATGAAAACTTTTTCCACTTTGTCATACAATTTCGCCAATACTGTTCTTGATATATAAAAATATATATTGCTATCTGATATATATGTAGGTTACGAACATATTGATGTGTTCATATATATGAACTCCTTTAATTATGAGTTCATATTTCCCACGCAGTTCATCGCTTTTTTATTTTCACTTCAATTTTTGTTTTCTGTTTCTCCAATTTCCCTTATTGCCCCTTTATTTTCCCTATTCTTGTTTTGCCTTCTACATTTTTTTTTTCATAAATAACCCCTAATTTTTATAAATTGCTTTTTTAATTAACGGAATATTCCAGACGAAGTCATTTGTTTTATTGATTGGCCGATTTATTTGCTCTTGACCGCCATTTTGCAAATTGTCCAGAACTGTTTTTTTTTTCTTTCTTTTTTGTTCGTTATTAACGCTTATTACAGCGACCCACAAGGTTACCAGTTCTTTTTTTCCCTTGACCAACATCGCTGATAAAAATCAACAGAAATATGAGTTTACACTATTTTTATGTCTCGGAACAAATGTTCCTGTTTATAATGTGTATTTTTATACCAGACGACCATCATTAATGTACAGTACAACAAAATAAAAAAATCGATGCGAGGGTAAATCAGATGTTAAAAGTGGAGGTGCTGTATCTGATATTAAGTTTTAAAAATTTCGGATTTAATATTTTTCATCTGATCCTATCATAAAAATTATTTTTATACTGTTAACATTTTGTTTTGATTTTAGATAACCACTTTATTTAATTTACATAGGTAGATAGTTCTTATTCCTTTATCCATGTCTAGGTTTTTTAAAAAAAAATCATTTCACCCTCCATTAAGGCGAGAATGCCATTAGTACGCAGAAAGTTGCCGTAAGTGAACGTGAACTAGAAGACTGAGAATAGGGTGGATAGAGGAAAGGACAAAAGATGAAGAGGTTTCAAGAAGACAGAACATGGTGATTGACGTTTCATTTAAATTTTTGAAGATTGAAGTTATCAGGGAAACAAGTAAACGGGAGATCCACAGATGGGAAGTGCGAGAAAAAACTGTTGGATTAGAAGTGGTTCTTGCATTTAGCTATTTCAACAGTGAAACGGGGGAACTTAGATGCTAATCTAGTAGCATGCTTAAATTCATGTAGTCGAGGCCCTAGTGGGAAAAAAAGCTCGTCAGAGCATTTGCCATGAAAATATTTGTAGGAAAGACAGAGGGAAGCCATGTTACGTCTGTGAGAAAGTGACTGGAATCGTAATGCCTCGTTAGGATCGATTGCATTATAGACCGTTCTTGGGATTTTGTCAAGAATCTCACGATGTACAGACAGCAGGAATACCATTTTTATTTTTTTCAAACTAGTCTCAATCAGATTTAGTTTTAAAGATTCTCGATTCTATATTTTCTATTTGATACTCTCATAAAATGAATATTTTTTCTAGATTTATTTTCCCACAGGAATTATTATTATTATTTTTTATTATGATTTGAAATACACATTTTCTTTATTTGCTGTTTGTTTGTACTTATTTTCTGGAATTAAACCTATAAACTTTTTACCTCATATAAAACTTATATAAATGTTTAGAAGCTAAGTTTTCGAAAAAACAAAAATCAAGTTTTATGATTTATTTTGAAAATTAATCGCAATATCGAACATGAGTAACGACGAAGTTTAGAGAAAATGGAAACAAAAAGAATACTTATACCATTTTTATTTTTTTATAAATAATGTTCGTTCGTTGTAATTTTGATGTCGCTAATGTGTTATTATTTTTCAGGATAAGGTTAGCCGTTTTAAATTTTAAACACATACATACACACACACACACACACACACACACACATATTATATATATATATATATATATATAGAGAGAGAGAGAGAGAGAGATATAGGTTATTATATTTGTATTTTCTACTTGTTTGTTTCGGATGGAGTCTGTTTGTGTGTACGTTTAAATTTGTTCCAATTGAGCTTCGGTCGGATAGGTAAGTCGTCTAGATAGGCATGTAGTAGTGTGACCGATGTAATTATTTATGAATTCGGTTTGTTCAGAAACACAATTCCTTAAAGGGCATTTGAACTTATAAATAATGTTCGTTCGTTGTAATTTTGATGTTGCTAGAGTGTTGTTATTTTTTAGGATAAGGTTAGATGTTTTAAATTTTAAACATATATATAGATATTACAATGAATATTAACCACTGTATATTCATATACAATACATATTAATATATAATAAATACTGATTAAAATAAAAATTAATAAAGCTAGTCCTGCAAGACCTTGACAACAGGAAGTAAATAAAAAGGGAATTTTTAAATTTTTTTTTAAGCATTTCAACCCAAGCAAGGCGGGAGTGCCACTAGCACGCAAGGGGTTACAGAGAGCAAGAGTAAAGAGGGGTGTTTGAGGAAAGGATACAAAGAAGGACGAGGATCAGGATCAAGGCATCAGAATATGTCGATTGACATTACATTTGAAAAATTGAAGATTATAGCTATCAGGGAAGCAAGTAGGAGTGAGGGAGTTCCGCTGTCGCGAAGTCCGAGATCAGAAGCTTTTGGATTAGAAGAGGCGGTTACATCTAACTGTTTCGACAGTGAAAGGTTGGGACAGAGATGCCAACCTAGTAGCACGCTTAAATTCCTGTAGTTTGGGTACCAGTGAATGTAGCTCGATTGAGCAGTTGCCATGGAAATATTTGTAGAAAAGACAGAGGGAAGCTACAGCACATCTGTGAGAGAGTGGCTGTAGACGAGATGCCAGATCAGGACCTATCACATTGCATATCCGTCTCTGGATTTTGTCGAGGACCTCGAGATGAACAGCGGGGGCACCAGACCATATATGGCAACAGTATACAATGCAAGGATGAATGGTAGATTTGGAGATGTGAAGGATGGGCTCAAGTGAGAAAAACCTTCTGGCGCGACCCAGAGAACCAACTTTCTTTGAAGCTATTGATTCAGTGTTGTTCCACCTAAGGTCAGTGGAAAGCGTGAGACCAAGCAGACTCAGAGAGACGCTCTCGCGCAGTTGAACATCAGCCATTCTGATAGGAGACAGGGAAGATTAACACAGAAAAGAAAGCGTTGAAATTTCTATGGCACATAATGAGGAAAATGGGCTTGGAAAATTTGATACTCACAGGACAGATCTGAAGGCAAGCGGAAAACAACACATAACCTTACCAGCGAACTTGAGAAAAGGGATGACAAGACAGGGTTTAGGAGGGATAATAAAAAGGACAAAATTTATTAAGAACTACAATTGACAGGAAATTGTGGAGGACCATGATCTTCAATGTCCTGAATAGACAGGTCACATAGAAAAAGAATAATATTTCAACGTTTTATAGGGCACAGCCAGATACAATTGCCATAGATAGAGGACAAGTAGATAAAGTTAGTCGTTTAGTTTTTAGTTTCAGCAAATGGTGTCGGGGCTGAAGTCCCCCCCTCCCATCTTTAGTTGCGAGGATAAAAAGACAAGAAAATTCCATCGAATTTACAGCATCCTGTTTCAGTATTATCTAAAATCTTAGTGATATTTAACGCCACAGTCCTTTCTCTCTTTCTTTCTTCTTTCTTTCTTTTTTCTTTCTTTTTTCTTTCTTTCTTTCTCTTTCTCTCTCTCTTTCGTTCTCTCTCTTTTTCTCTTTCTTTCTTTCTCTCTCTTTTTCTCTATTTCTTTCTTCCTCTCTCTTTTTCTCTATTTCTTTCTTTCTCTTTCTTTCTCTTTCTTTCTTTCTCTTTCTTTCTCTTTCTTTCTCTCTTTCTTCTTTCTTTCTCTCTTTCTTCTTTCTTTCTCTCTTTCTTTCTCTCTTTCTTCTTTCTTTCTCTCTTTCTTTCTCTCTTTCTCTCTTTCTTCTTTCTCTCTTTATCTCTTTCTTCTCTCTTTCTTTCTTTATCTCTTTCTTCTCTCTTTCTTTCTTTCTTCTCTCTTTCTTTCTTTATCTCTTTCTTCTCTCTTTCTTTCTTTCTTTCTTTCTCTTTCTTCTCTCTTTCTTTCTTTCTCTTTCTTCTCTCTTTCTTTCTTTCTCTTTCTTCTCTCTCTTTCTTTCTTTCTCTTTCTTCTCTCTTTCTTTCTTTCTCTTTCTTCTCTCTTTCTTTCTCTTTCTTCTCTCTTTCTTTCTCTCTTAACTATTCATATCTGTTTTGTATAGTCATTATTTCAGCCTTATTTTATTTTATATTGTTGTATTAAATGGACGCCTTCCTAAATCTATCAAATATAAACGCCTGTCAGTTGCCGTCGCTCTTTACTTATTAATAGGAACCAGGAAAACATATAGAAATTCTGCGGTTAATGCCAAATTTATATATTTATGTAATTTCTTCAATAATTCTGTTGAAGTAATGCTTTATCTTCCCTTTTTTACCGAAGAGTTCTACTTTTGAGTGCAGTCATTGTGCACACAATTTTAGTTCCTATTACATTATATATTTTTATTTGCCAAATAAGAGATTTATAATTGTTTATCAAGCTTAAGTTAATCTGGTGCAAGATCACAATTTTAGAGCATTCGTTAAGGATCGATCTCCTTTCAGAATGAGGATCGTTTTATAATGCAACTCTGCACGAAAGCGAGACTTCCACTACTTGATTCCATTTTATTTGACACACATGACCTTGAACAAAAAAATCAAACTCCTCTAGAAAGTGTTCTTAGACATAAGATTCGAGATAGACATTTCCAAAACAGAAATTAAGATCTGGAATTGGAATGAAAGCAATGACGGTACCTATCCTGAAACCTTCATGAAAATTTAGGATGTGGAATTAATAAATGCTAAACACTTGAAATACTTCGGTGTATAGATCAGTTATAACAAATTTAGTACAGGGGATAAGGAAATTGAATAAAGAAAACGCCATGTTAAGATTAGTTTCTACCAACACTGCAAGTTGCTACAAAACATTAAGAACTCGATTCATGCTCATAAAGTGCCTCGTCAGATCAAAACTTTTATATCGATGTCATGCATGGTACCAAACGCGTTAAAAAATTGCTAAACTATCGGCTCTATACAACCTCTTTCTCAAATCAATGGTTAAAAATGTATTCTAGTGAACGAAGTCTGTAGCTCTTAGCGAGAATCATCCATCTTCGAACCTTGTGGACTGGCGCTGCAGAATCCCAAACAAAGACCTCTACCAAATAGTGTAAACCACATAATTTGAAGACTACCAACAGCAGCAATAACTAAAATGGATAGCACATGTAACTCGAAGAGAAAATAATGACATAATGATTCAAAATGCTGACATTCCACACTACTTCAAGTAAAAGGTTAAGAAAGAAGACCCCATCCTCTCCTCATCAATATTGGAAAGAGCAATAACAGCTATTGGATTTATTGTTGCTCGCAACAGTGTAACTTTTGTCTTGTTAATAATACATTGTCGGTTGTTTATATATATATATATATATATATATATATATATATATATATATATATATATTACTATATATTTTATTACCCGGATTCGCATACCGAGTCCGCCATTTTTGTTGTGAGATAAATATACCAGGAGATATGTGTTTTCGACCTTAACACTCGACCAGCATACTCCCGCAACAATCCTTCTTTGAAGACTAACGATAGAAAATCACAACGAACTGTACCAAACAACAGAAACCACATCACTTGAGGACTTCCAACAGGAGCAACAACTAAAATGGTTAGCACATGTAACTCGAAGAGGAAATAATGATATGATCAAAACATATTAACATTCTACACTACTTAAAGCAAAATTTTAGGAAGAAATCACCCCATCATTATTGGAAAGAGCGATAACAGTTATTTCTATTAAATTTCGGGAAAATAGTTTTCTCGAATGTAATATCTTATAAATTTCAGCCAACTGGCTGCTCGGTCTATAAATACCCAATGTTTCCTTATAAGGAAATGGTTAATATTACGATTGCCATTGGATAAGAGAAGGTAAAGTACATCATAGTAGTATTGATAGTACCCCAAAATATATATATTTAATCATGTTTTGCACCAGTAAGATCTGGTGACTTTGGTTATCGATCAAGTGACAGCAAGTATTCTTAGTTCTCCAGAACCTTACTCAGTATTCTAGCTGATTTTAATAATGCTATTTTCAAGATATTTTCTTTTTTCTTCCTCGGATCTCTAGTTTTTCTAATCCTCTTGAAAGGCACTCCATTATTTGTTCCAAGCATACCAGTAATGATGGGTACATCTTGTTACTTTTATATTGTATATTTTTTATTCTTTACTCAGGAAAGATCTTCATATATCTCCGACATTTCACTTTCTTTCAATTCCATCTTCCGGTCTGCTAGGACAGTAATATTCGCTAATAGAACAAACAAAAAACTTTTCCTCTTTGTTTACGAGGATTAAATCCGGGCTTTTTTTTATTTGATTCAATCTATAAGATACTGAATATGTTATGTCTTAGTCTCTAAGACTAGGAATTATTATTATTATTATTATTATTATCCTTCTCCTCATCCTTCTTCTAGCGCAATTTAAGAAAAGTCAGTGTTTGACAATATTTCGACAGTATGTCTGTCTTCAAGTTGCGTCTAAAAATTGAATAAAAATATAAACAGAACCAACACAAAATTATAAGTCTTTGTAGAAATGTCGCTTGTCTTGAGAAAAAAACTGCTGTTTCCATGATGTGCACGATCACCATCGTATGACGCACGTTTCAGTTGCCTGCCATCACGCAGGCTGTGTTTCATTCATTTTGACGCGTTGATTACCATTACAGCCGTTTTTCTCATGGCATGCGACTTTTTTGTAGATTTCTTCATATTTTCTACTTGAAAATTTTTTTTTTTAAAACATAACCTGAAGAATACAGACATACTGTCGAAATATTGTTGAGCATTGTCAAACACTGTGTCTTTTCTTTTTTTCTTTTCTTAAATAACGGTCTTCTCTAAATTTTGAAAAATATTTGAAAAGTTACGTCAATCATTTTATTATTATTATAATTATTATTATTATTATATAATAATAAATTGTCGCTGCCGTCACTTTAGTTTGAACATAGATCGCCAGTAAGCAAACTCAGGCCATCCCATTATTGAAATGAGTAGACCACGGGACCATAGAAGAAACGCATATATGTAGGAAGTAGCTGACGACTAACGATCGCCATTTCTATTCTATCCTCTATTACTATACGGACCGCTTTTCTCTACTTTATTTACCATATTATTTCTCTATTCGGATCAGTATACGGATTACTATTCGAGCAAGTATTATCGAGCAAGTACTATTAGTACGAGTGCTGTTCGAAGGCGTCTGACACCAGTATTGTTCAACGGCGTTAATATATGTTGTATTCTTAAAGAGGTTACAAACAGACAAAGGTGGTACCTGAGTGAAGGAACAGCAACAGGCGCGTATATGAAAGAAGCGAGGTTTATCGTGAAAGAGAATACACTACTGAAAGACAGGGAATCGGGCGGGAGGCTAGTAATTCCCGAAGCAAGGATATTTGCCAACCGCCCACGCAGTCAGATGCGGCACAAGGCCGAATTTAACGTGGGGTATCCGAGCCCGTAGGCTCGGGTAAAAATTCTCCGTAGACCCCGTAAAAAAATGGGGTCGGGTAGCCTCGTTTGGGTTCCTCGTCGCTCGAAGGCAGAGAGTTCGACCAGCTCAGCTAGAGACGCATCTCCAATTAATTCCCGAAGCAAACTCCCAGGTATATCCTGTGCTCACAATATATATCTACTGATATAGTCAGTCCACATAGGCGATAGGGAGTGTGGGACATTCCATTACAACACTATAGTTGTATTTGCGATTATAAAGTCTCTACTACAAAGAGGATTACGAAAGTGACAACGAGTATTCGTTGATATTACAAGAGTAGCAACGAGTGTTTGTTGAGATCACAAAAATTATTATTATTGTTGTTGTTGCTGACGAACGGCGTTCAGATTCCGTTTCCTTTCACTTTGCAATTGGGGCAAACGTCTGAATCAAGGCGATAGCTTTTTGCTTTCTCCGTGGTCTGAATCCATCTCTAGCTATCGGTCAGGGTTAGGGATTACCCCCTTGCTACTTGTACCATGTCACTAAGTGCAGCCTGTCCTTGGAGAGGAAATGGGTATCCCCCAATAAACCCCGTTGCCACCAAGAAATATCAGCATATTATACCCCTACCCTACGTATGAAGCAACCGGATAATTTAATTTGATTTCTGGAGGACATTAATTGACATTAAAGAAGCTCTCAAAGCTGAATGGCGTAAGCACGATACTCAGTGACAGCGAATTTTAGAAAGTCGATAAACATGTGTATCATCAAACAAAGAATGGCGCCTGCAATATTAAGCTGTTCAGAAAATAATGTTCAATTTTAGAAAAATCCTTTTGCGATCGAATATATTATTATTATAATAGTTGCGCAAAAAATATATTACTCATTCCTAAAGTGTCTTCTTTATTAATTTATATCAATCTCTTTTAGAATTTAACTTCAAACATTATATAACATCTTTAACAAATCCTCTGCTAAATGTTCTACGGAGTAGGACTGAAGACAAACGCTTCTAAAACAGAAACTATGATCTGGAATTAGAAAGGAGCCAATAATAGCAGTTACCGTTAGTCCATCATAAAAAGATAGATAATGAACGGGATAGATAGATAGATATAGATAATTAACAGGTTGAGATAGAGAGAGAGAGAGATAGATAGATAACAGGTTGAGATAGATAGAGAGAGAGAGAGATAGATAACAGGTTGAGAAAGATAGAGAGAGAGATAGATAACAGGTTGAGAGATAGATAGATAACAGGTTGAGAGAGATAGATAGATAACAGGTTGAGATAGATAGATAGATAACAGGTTGAGAGAGAGATAGATAACAGGTTGAGAGAGAGATAGATAACAGGTTGAGATAGATAGAGAGATAGATAGATAGATAGATAACAGGTTGAGAGATAGATAGATAACAGGTTGAGAGAGAGATAAATAATAGGTTGAGAGAGAGATAGATAGATAACAGGTTGAGATAGATAGAGAGATAGATAGATAGATAACAGGTTGAGAGAGATAGATATTAAGCGAGATTATCATATATTAGCTTGTTCGGAAAATAATGTCCAACTGAGTTCTAATATATTATTATAATAG